CTCTGTATCGTTAGTCTCTTTGGTTACGATGTGGTGTCAACAGAATCATGGATTTCAGAGCTTCAGGAAACTCTGAGCGCATCTACTCCAAACCACTCAGTTTATATGTGAAGAAATTGAAATCAGAGAGAGAAAGGAGTTTGCCCCAAATCATAATCAAACAAGAAGGCAAATACTATCAATTCTTTTATTACTATTTCTACTATTCGTCTCTATGTATTCATTCATTAACATTCAACAACTATTTATTAAACATCTGCTAAGTTATAGGACTTATTTTAGGTGGTGGAAAAAACATATAGAAATTAATGTTCCAATATATACATTCTGGGGAGAGGAGACAGACACGGTGAATAAATGAGTACATGTGAAGTATGCCAGGTGGTCATAAATGCTATGGGGAAAAATAAAGCAGGAAATTGAAGTGCCTGGAGAGAGGGCCTCATTGAGAAGAAAATATTTTAGCAGAAACCTGAAGGAGTTGGGGGAATTAGCATGTGGATATCCGGGGAGGAGGGTTCCAGGAAGAGTGAAAAGCGATTGGTGCTGGTGTTGTCTTATGTTTGAGGACCACCTGGAGACCAGTGTGGCTGGAATGAGACTGAGGAAGGAGGCAATGAGGCTGGAGGGCAACATGATAGAGATGGGGTGAGGAAGTTGTGTTAGCACCTTTGGCTTTCATGCTGTGTGAGACGGGCAGCTATCGGATGGTTTTGGATACATAAGCAATATGTACTATGTTCTCATATTTTAAAAGGATCTCTTAGGCTGCTATGTTGATAATATACCATGGGGGATGAGAAGAAGAGAAGCACTTAGGAGCAAGGGAGATCTTAACTATTGCAATAATTCAGGCAGAGATGGTCTTGGTTTGGAACAGGGTGGTAATGGTGGAGGTGGTGCAATGTCGTCAGATCCCCATATATTTTGAGGGTAAAGAAAAAAGAATTTGGGGTGTAAGAGAAAAACAGGAATCGAGGATGAACCAATATTTTGGGCATGAGTAATTGGAAGTATAGAGTCACCATTTACTGACATGGGAAAGACTGTGGGAAGAGCAGGTATTAAGGAGAAAATCATGAATTGGCTTGGAATGTGTAAATTTGACCAGGAGTTTGCTCATTATTAGACATCACAGTGAAGACGCTGAGCAGGCTAAAGCCATGAAATCACCAAGAGATTAGTGTAATAGAGAAGTTCTAGGATGGAGTTCTGAAAAAAACCAACATTTAGAGGTTGCTGAGTTGAGAAAGATGTTTCAAAAGAGATTAAGAAGGAGTCTGATATTGGAAAGGATCAGGAGATTGTGGTGTCCTCGATAGTATTTTAAAGAGGATGGAATAAGAAAGTGACTTAAGTGCTGTGGATAGGTAAAATAAGGACTGAGAGTCAACCATTGGGTTTGTTTGTTTGTTTATTTATTTATTTATTTTTAAAAGCCAGTCAAATTTAGCAGCGGGGGGTTGTATACGACCATTGCGTTTAGAAACCAATGAGGGTGATCTTGAGAAAAGACCCACTGGAGTGTTGGGAGTGAAAGTCCTATTGGGAAGGTTCAAGAGAAAATGGGAAGGAGAGGAATTGGAGACAATGAATATACACAACTCTTGAGTTTTGTATAAGGGGAACAGATAATAGGATGGCAGCTGAAGAGGGATGTGAAATGAAGGGAGGTTTTTTTTTTTTTTTTTTTTTAATTGGCAGATAACTCAGGATACCTGAGCATAGTTCAGAGTGTAACACTCGATGCTTTGCCACACTAGCCTCCTTCCAACTCAAAGGATCAGGCATTTATGACCAGATGAATCTCCTTGGGATGGCTTCGATATCAGGTCACCTTTCCCCATCTCCATCCCTTGCAAAAAATCTTTTAATGACAATTCAATAGTAATCTATGCAATAATATCCAAATTCCTTAGCTTAGAATTCAAAGTCAAAAAAATCTGGTATCTACTCTGCACCAGTGAATCTGGTCTCTTCTGTATATACCGCTTTCCACTTTTGTGCTCTGTTGTTGTCACCTGCTCTATTCAGAACCTGAACCTTCACGCTCCCCATCTCTGCTTATGGAGGCAGAAGTGGGGCTTCGGGGGGAACGGTTCCAGGGCTCCACTCACATGTTATCTGATCTTTTCACTGATGACCTTAGCCAGAAAAATATTTCTGTCATCTCAACTGCTATAGTATTTATCGTCAAAAGCATTTTTGGCTTACATACTGCCTTATACACTAGACATTTTTGTGTCTTTCATAGTGCCTATCTCAAAGCACGTGAATGTGTTACATAAAAGTATGTTGAATAAAGAAATGATTATATACCAGGTCTGCTAACTCCAAATCTACTGCTTTTTCCTTTCACCATTCTGCTGCAGGCTTTGGTATGATTCAGATGAGTGCTGCCTGCGTAACCACTTCTCTAGCACTATGTCTGGAACTGCATGGCCTCGTCTGCATAGAATTGGGGAAATTTTTCATTTTGAGGCAGCTCAGAGCCTTCTGCTCAGTAACCAGGAAGCTTCCCTTGGAGGAGAGCTTTTGTTATGATAGAAACCAACATTTTGTCATAAACTGAAAGGAAGTTTGAAATCTGAGGATTCAAATATATCTTTAAATCTTTCTTGCCACTCAAGACAAAAACTTAATGAAACATCTGTCTTATTAAAAAATCTATCTTTAAAGAGCTAGTTTGTAGGTGTTTTATGTTTGTAAAATTTAATCATAATTCAGTTTTCAAAAATCAAGCCTTGTGTCAATCTCATTAACATTGAGCCACATTTCACAGTTTGTCATTAAAACACTCAGGAGGAAAAGATAGTTGTCTGCAGTTAGTTTGTGTTTGGTTCTTATGAAGGGCTTAAATACCATATCAATCTTTCCCAATGACCTAGCAAAATAAGTAGAAATCACTAACCCTACTCAAAGAATAAAGAGTTGGGGCCAAAATTCCTTGCTTAAGTGTGTTGTCAGCTAGACATCACTCTATCCTCAAGAATGGAATTATACCTTAATGCTGTCCTGTAGAAGAGAATTGGCTAATGCCAAAGCTAGGCAGATGTAAGGCCACCTTACACTACACCAATCAGCTTTCTTTGAGACAGTGGAGAATTATTTTATGTTGAGAAGGATGAATTTTTCTAGGGCATTTTATGTTCCACTTAGTAGACTTAAAAAAAAAAAAAACCTTATTTCTCTACTTGTATTTTTCTGAAGTGTTACAAATTATAAACTCATTGTGGGGAGGGGAATTATCTTTGCTTTCCCTGGAATGTTTTCTTAGCACTTGGCCTATATTGGGACTTCAAAACTGTTTGACTGAAGGACTAAATTAAAATATTTGTCCATTTTGTCAGTGAGTATTCAAAGAGACAAATGATTCCAGGTATAAAAATGAGAAATGTGTGGAAATCAGCATTTTAGATGTATAATGAAAGTGACTTTTACCAAGGCACTCTGCCAATCTTCCTTCAAAATAATTAGCATGCAAATTGGAATTTATATTGCATGCCAAAAAATGGTTGTTGTGTAGATGATTATTAGCGCGTAGGTGGTGTTTATGTGGATGCGCAGATGTGTTCAGAAACCCTTGATCTATGTGGCACTCTGAACAACCCAGCCTGTATTCACAGATGAATTACATTTCATTCCCCCATTATCCCGTGCCACAATTGCAGCTTACATATTTAAACAGGTGTACCAATTTATCCAGAGAAAATTACATTTTTGAGAAAACTTAATGAATTATCTCACATTTGCAATGTGAGATAACTTTAATGAACCATTTAAACAAAGAATATAGGTTTTCCGGTTAGCCAAAACTTCCTTTTGTCTAACTTCCCCTTTTTCTGTGAGTAGAAGGGAAGGACTTCGTCGTCTCCAATTTTGATCTTCCATTCAGTAATCTCAACTCTGGATGATTCCGAAACAGTAGAAAAAACATCTCTTACTTCATTCTAGATTCAGCAGATCTAGAATCCTTTTGGCAGGTGGGGTGGAATGAAAATCACTATTGGATGAACAAAAAGAGGCAATATTGAGATGTGGGGCCTGGATCGTTAGCCAGACATTTGCATAATGCCAGTAGAATCTACTGACCAAGAAATATGGATCCAGTTGGAAGTGTCTAGCAAGAAATGGCACATGGCTGCAGGCTTCCTGTGGGATATAACATTTTTATTCTTTTTTTTGCCTTGTTGCCTGAGGCTCTTTTCAGATTAAGACTTGGCAACTCATCCCTTGCTCTGTTCCTTTCCTGTTATTTTCTTTCTTCCTTAACATTTGCTAAAAATGTAAGAAGTTATCAGGATACATTTGGATTTCAAGTGTCTAGAAAATTTTATCTTTTCAACCAATGAGTAAAATTATACAAATTAAAAAAATTTTTAATCTCCCCTCCCACTCTTAGATTTCCCTCTAATTTTCTTCACCTTAGATCTTTCCTCTTTTTATTTTAAGCTGTGACCCCTCCATAGAGAATGTCTTCTCTAGAATATAATTTTTTTCCAGGACTGGATTTTCTTTCTTTTACTTGTCTTCCTGCTTGTCACCTTTTTTGCTGTCTCCGTCTTTAATCTCCCATCTAAAATCTTAGAGATATATTCCCTGTGGAGTTCAACAGGCCTGGATTCAACACAGACTTTGACACTTACTGGCTTGTGACTTGGACAGTTCCTTGTTCTCTCTGAACCTTGGTTTGATAGGATCTGCCTGGTGAGATTGCGGTGAGAACAGAAATAGAAAATCAGTGCCCGTGGTCTGTTTTCCTGGCTAGGGCTATGATGGAGTAATTCAAAGCAAAAGACATCTACATCCAATTATCAGAGAAACTTGGGAAGGGCTTCCAGCCCATTTCCATTAGTAAATTTCAGAAAAGCAAGAGTCTTGGTCCAATGAGCTCACTCAGTTCCAGCTGGTCTCTAATCGTACAAATTCATCTCTCCCTTTAAATTACCAGCTTCTGTCTTCCAAAAGAACCTTAACTGACTGTCTGCTCCTTTCTCCAGTTTGAACTTCAATGGATGCTGATTCATTGCGACCCCTTGCGACCCAGGAGAGAAACTTGCCATGAGCTGCCAGCCCGAATAACGGTGAGTCCTTTGACTACCTGCAAAGGCTACTTCTGCCGGGCTCATGCCTCTCCCTCTCATCAACCTCCCCACCTTCTTTCCCTAAAGAGTCTTTCCCTAACGGGCTTTGCTGCATTGACCAAACCTGTGTTAAGTTAGCACAGGTTCTGCTCGCAACCTGGCTGGTAGAAACCACCTCCGGGTGTCTGATTCTCCCCTTGGTGGCTATGACCCTCCTCCCCCACTCTCAAACAACTCTTCAAGAGCACTTGAAGTCTACTCGCGGATAGTGGCACGGGCCACGCGGGGAGGCTCCCAGGACAACCAGAGGCTGCGTCAGGGGCAGGTGGGGCGCAGGCAGAGCTGCGCGCTCAGGCCTCGCCTGTGCGGCCGCGGGGAAAGGGTTAAGGGAGACTGTTGTCATTCTATCCGTCCTCCCTGGCCCGCTAGCTCTCCTCCAATCCCCGGGACCCTCTCTAGGGCCGTTCATAAACAGGGGGAACGTACGCCTCCTAGGCCCGGACACCTTTGCAAACGCTATTCCCGGGGGCCTCTTTTTTGCGGGTCCAAGTGCCATTTCATTCTAGTGGCGGGTCCGGAAGCTTTGCGGGACGACAGGCGGCAGAGCCGGGCCAGGGGATTAGCCGAGGGCGGCGGGCATGACCTGGACAGCGCGGAACCGCGGGACCCTCGGGCTGCTGCTGTCAGGGCTCTGCTTGTGTGCGGCTCAAGTAAGTTGTGCGAGAGTTGGAGCGTCGCTTTCTCACTTTCTCCCCATCTTTCCTTCCCCAGACCAGCCAGACCACCGACGAGGTAAGCTGGGGGAGAGAAGTGTTTGTATTTTTCAAGCGCACACAAGTGTTTATATTTTTTCAAGGCAAGGTTGGGGCGCAGCCGTCCGGGAACTGCGGGGAAGGTGCGGAGCATCCTCCGAGCTCTCCCACCTGCGTTGCCTGCAGCCATGAGCACCTGCAGCTAGTACAGTCGCCCTAGGTGACCTCTTGGTCTGAGAAAGGGCACTTGTTCCTCCACCTGGGCCCTAGCACTGCGGTCTCTGGCGCTGAAGGTAATAGGTGACTGGAGACTGAGGCTTAATTTCTAGCCTGTATTGCTTCTTACTCCCCCCATCCCCCCTTCCAAGTCACAGACAAGAGCAGGCCTTGCTGGAGAAGGCGGGAATTCAGGCAAGCTCCCTCTCCCGCTCCTCCAGCCAGTGGTGGCTGCACTGAACAGTGAGTCCTGCTAGCAGCGCCCGCGGCTCCTGGGTTGGAGCTGGGCAGCCCTGGCTCCCATCAAAATTTCAGCAACTTCCTAAAGGCTCTGGTGTCTCCTCCCTCCCACGCTGGAGAGGACCCAGCAGGGGCTGGAAAGCCCAGCCAGGTTTGAGGTTTCACTTACAAAGACCCCATTGTAACCTGTCTGGTCATTGGAGTTTAGAAAAACAAAGTTTTCCTTGATGAAAGAAAGACTTTCTTCTTCTTCTTCTTTTCTTTTTTTTTTTAAATCAGAAGCAAAAAAGTCTCACATTTCCTAAGCAACATGTTCATACTATTTCAGAGGCCAGCGTTACCTCTAGTACCATCAAAGGGTAGCTATTTGCAAGTGATAAAAAGGGTCAAAGCCTAGGGTCAGTCTGAAATTTGGTGTAGTTTTGAAGCGAGGTGCAAAGACCTCATGCAAGGTAATGTCACTGCAGGTAAAACTGAAATGAGGCCAGGTGCTGGTTTCACAGCTGTCCTGCCCTACTCCTCCCAAATCTTTTCAAGAATATCCCTCCTCCCCCTTCTACTGGGCTTGGAAAGACTTACAAGGGGCACTGTAGTCATCTGGTGTGGAGTCTCTCCATTCTTGGCTGTTCCATTCTGGCCAAACACTAACTTGCAATTACTGATTAAATCGAGGTATAGAATGACCCCCCCCCCCGCTTTCATTTTTAAATCTCTTTGGGGGCAAAAAAGGCGCTAGACCCTCCTTTTTCACAACCCCTCTCCAGCTTAATGCAGTCTGTACAGGTGAGGCCCAGTGAAGCCTCCCCCCACCTTAGGGGCGTCTGTCGTGCTATAACCCCACAGTTTACCTCATTTAGAGTATGGGGTGGCCCAAACCTGCGCTTGCTAGGAAGCCTGAGACACGTTAATTACCTTGGTTTCAAAAACCTGGGGCTCCGCAGGGAGGTATTGTTAGCGGGCGGAGGCGGGGGCTCTAGACGCTGCACTCCATAGCTCCTTGTTCCCAAAGTGCTTCACTAATCTGTGTCTGCTGTTTTTGCCAGAGAGGTCCCCCTGGCGAGCAGGGTCCCCCCGGGCCTCCAGGGCCTCCCGGGGTTCCGGGCATTGATGGCATCGACGTAAGTTTCTATCTCCAGGGGCCCTCTGTTCCAAGTCAGGCGCTTTCTTACTTTTCCAGCAGCAACTATGGGATTTTAGAGAGGGAGGGTCAGGGTCCCCCCTTCCCACCACCCCCTAAAAGGCAGGATTGGTCGTCGGTGAGAATTGGGGGTTTGGGGGTGGGATCCTAGGAGCCTGGGAATTTGGGGAGGGGGAGATAGACGTGTCCCTGTTGGTCATGAACCTGCCCCTTTCGGCCTTTATCCTGTTCCGGTCCAATCAGTGTGGTGAACCCACATGGGATTGTCCCAGGGGGGTTCCCAGCATCTCCCACTCAGACTGCACTCTCCTTTTCTTATATCCCTCCAGGGTGACCGAGGCCCAAAGGGTCCCCCAGGCCCCCCGGTAAGTTGATGGGGAGGGGCGGTCGTGTTCCACTTCCTTCCCTTAGACGTGTTTTGCAGCAACATGAGTTCGCAAGGTCTCAACTTTGCACATTTTTCTCTCCCTGCCTTGTCCCCTACCCCTCACCCCATCGCTCAGGGTCCTGCCGGAGAGCCGGGAAAGCCAGGAGCTCCAGGCAAGCCTGGCACACCGGGCGCCGATGTGAGTAGGCGAGTGCGGGGGAGCGCGTGATCGTGTGGGTGTGTGTGGGTGTGTGTGGGTGTGTGTGGGTGTGGGCGGCGGGGCCGTTGGGAGGGTGTAAGAAAGCGAAGGGAGGGAGGAAGAGAACTCCCTGTGTCCCTGAACTGGCGGTGGAGCTGGTAGCTTTTGCAAAGCGGCCATCAAAGGTGAAGATACCTCTCCCTCAAGGCTTCCTGGGGAGAGCATACTGGGCTGGCTGGCATTTCCTCCTCTCGGAAAACAGCAGGGGTATCTGCTTCCTGTCTCTAACAGTCAACTCCCTGCTCCGTCCTGGCCTCCCCCACCAAACTCTCAGCCCTACCGCTGGCACTGGGGGTCAGAGGTTGAGGGGTGGGATTGTCCTGGCCTTGGCTGCAGCTGGGGCTCACAGCAGGCAGTCTCTGCCCTTACCCTGTCACTTGCACTCTCTGAATCAATTTAGAAAACGAACCTGCAGGCAGGAGAAGGGGCAGAGCACCCCTAAATCCCAAGGGATAGAAAAGGAAAGATGTGCTTGAAGGAGGTGGGGGTATGTGGGGATGGGGCAGACACAGGGAAATGGTCAACACACACCGAATAGAAAATTCAAAACTAGTTTTTCCTCTTTTTGTGGTATTTTTCTCTGACTGGCCTTACTGACAGAAATGAGCTGGCTAGGGTTGCTTGAAGACTGGGAACCAGCAAACTTTTTTCCATTTACCCATCTTCACGCCCCCCATCCCTATCTGAAGGAAGTTCAGATGCTGAGTTTATATGGTAAACCAAACACTAAATATTTCTTCAGAGTGAAATAACGTCAGGATGCTCAGCTTCTCTTTACAAGCATTCTACTAATACTTAATGAGATCCCACCACAGACCACCTCAATTTTGTCAGTGCAAAACAAAGCTAAGTAAGGAAATGCCATCTGTTCTTGGAGAACATGTCATGGCGTATCCCTCAAGTTATCCTTCAAGTTACCATTCTTATGTGTTTTCCAAAAACTAAAGACTTTTCTAAATGAAAGAAAGCACCTGAAAACCTACATTTATAATTCCAAGAATTTTTTGAGTAGAGTTTAAGACAGATTCTTGGAGAGAAAACTAAGTAACTCGGTTTTAGCTGTTACTAAGAAATACTTTCTGTGTCAAGATTACCATAATGAAAGTATTTCTCTATATTACTTAGTGCTTTAGGAGATAGACTTTGTTTTATATTTCAAAGCCCCTAGTTAACTTTCTGTGTATGCAAAGTGGCAGGACATGGAGTACCTAAGGACTAATGTTTAGGTAACACAAACTGAATATCAAAGTAATATTTGGGTAATACAAACTAAAATTATGTAACTTGTTGGCTGTCAAGCTCTTCTCTGAAGCGTTGAGAATTACTTGCTTTGGCATACCATTATAAAAGTCTGATAAATACAAGGCCACTAAATAAACTAGTAGCCCAATATAGGTTGAATTTATTTCTATATTCTTTTGAAATTTCACCTAGGCTTTTGGGTGAAAAGAAGATTTCTGATTAAATTAAAAAATTTTGTGATAATTGGAGCATAAACTGGTCATCTGAAGTCATATCTTGCTATTGAGCTGCAATATAATTTTAGACAGAGGACTAGACTTATCTGTCCCTCAGGTTAATAGTGCTTTTTAGCTTGTTCAACAAATTCTTTACCATATACTCCAATGTCATAAAGAGAATCCTTGGTTTTTCCTTATAATTTCCCACTTTGACAGAAATTTAGGATAAACAAATGAAAGTTCTTTGAAATTTTTAGAAGTACCATGTAAAAACAATCACAAGTAACTTTTTTGGCCTATATTTACGGTCTCGTAGTGCAGCACAAACCAGATTTCAAATATTAAAAGATCTAAAAGAGTAAGGCTTCTTAGATCATTGAACTTGGATCTTAAAGGCCTCAGGGAGAAACAGATGAGTCAGTGTCCTGGGACAGAGGAGGAAAGCAAAAGAAAAAGAGCAAGAGAGAAAAAAGGAAATTCATGTATGTGCCAGTATTTTACATCCTAGATCTAAGGGAAAAATTAACTATGCTATTTGCATATGTGAGCTTTTTCCTCAAGCACTATCACAAATATTTTCTTTAACCTTATAATAACCT